GGGGACAAAGGCGGGCGGCGACGAGAGAGAGACGCGTTGACTTGGGAGAGCGGGACACAGCGGGAGCTCCGAGACAAACCGATTAGCCGTGCGGCCGGCAGAAGCTCCTGGACGCAGATGCCCCCCACAGGTCACGCGTTCAATCCGGCTTCACCCCGGGCGAGCCGGTGGGAACCTCACCAGACGAGCAGGGGGCAACGGATCGAAGAACGTCGCCGGGCGGCGGTGGGGCCACTCCGAGGCGATCCGAGCGACTGCGCCGTCCGCCGAGGTGTGGGCGCGCGGGTGGGCGCCCCAGGGGGCTGCGTTGCCGCTGTGGGCGGGTCGCTGGTGCTGTGTGGGGGTGAGCCGCAGGGCAGCCCAATGGCACCCTGCCTGGATGGCTTTAAGTACTCGGAAGTGATGGTCCCGGCTGATTGCGCATCTTCATCGGTATATTCTCCGGAAACTCCGATGCTTCGGGATATATTCCAACGCAACAGGTCTGGGAGTGTCGGTTCGAAGGAGCAGGGTGGTCAGCCCGCGCGTGAGCGCAACAGCGGTGGGCCATTGCCGGAAGGGAGTAAATGGGATTAGAATGCATTGGAATGTTGGACTACTGGCACGTGACACGTCGGAGCGCCCACTCTGTCAATGGGATGGTTAGTTCAGGGGTTACTGATGCGGGCACCTGATACATCTGCGCCAGATGCACGAATTTTCGACCCCCATCTGCGTGACCAAAAAGGTCGTTGATGGACAGTTCACCACCGCGTGTCAGTGACGTTGGGGCATGCTCAAAAGTGGCACGGGTTGCAACACCGGGATGGGATTTAATTGTGGAGAATAGCCCCTGCACCACATTCAGGCGGCGACTGCCAGCCACGTACCTTGTTACACACGACTCACACTCAGGGGAGGCGACCCAAGCCTTTTCTTTTTGTTCCAGGAGAAGGCAAACGATTTTGATTTCTTTGTCTCATTTTGACACTTGTCCAGCGCCGATATGCCCTTGCTAATATGCTGTTTGCTTTTTTTTGTGGCCGCAGATGTAGGAAGAAGCTGAGCAAGACGTTGATGCTCCAATTGTGCAGCTGCAAGCAGTGCAACGCTTGCATGGAGTGCGACACACTGTTGGTGACGATCCTCGACCAGCACACAGATCGCCATCCTGCTTGCCTGCAAGTTGCCATGACAGGCTGCCAGGCGCCGTTTCCAAGTACAATCAATTGATAGGGTTTTTGGGCACCATGGTACAACTGCCCACAAGCATAGGACGAAATTGGACAATTGGCGATCGCTGCATGGTCCCTGGCAGACAACAACTAAGTGCCAGGGAGTTAGTGATATTGGTTTTAGGTCATCGCAGCACCATCCAATGCCTGTCATCAAGCACAAATCATGCATCCATTCACTACGAATTCAGACAGCAGCCGGATCTGATGCCCTCAGAAACCTGGCTGGGATGCCATAACATTGACATGTTTCTCTGACCAACATATGGCAAAGGCCATGGGCATATGACACCTGAGACACAGATGCCCTTCAGTTACAGCTTGAAGATGTCATGTGCTATGGTGCCCTGTAACCCTGCCGGACTGTACATTCCTTGCGAACAAGGGGCCCAGTGGATGCCAACAGCCAAAACCTCAAGACCATGCTATACACATCAGGGTCAAGCTGAACAACAGAGAAAATGATCCAAAAGGGGCAAAATCCCGCGAAGTTGTGGCACGGGATGCAACTAGGATGTTGCATTACATCTGCATTGCACCTGCATTGCATCACCAGAGCTGGTGTAGTGTGGAACGCTCAGAATTGATTGGCACCTGGGAGCAGATCTCCCGTATTTTGCACATTTCTGTGTCCAAGTTCAAAGCAATTCTCCTCAACATTGCGAGATGCTTCGCAAAACTAGCCACAAAGCATCTCACAAGATATGGAGCCCCACTTGCATGGCCACTGCTGCTGATGTCACACTGAAGCAACCCCCTGTTCATTGGCCATGTTTTGGACTTGTGCAGAGCTGTCCTGCCTGCCAAAGGTGGTTCAACGTGCAGCACGGGAAATAGAAGGCCCCTTGGGACAGCCATTTGGCAGAGTTGATGGTAGTACAGAGAATGATGTTCAAAAGGAGAAGAAAGCTTGCCATATAAAATAGCTATGCGCATCTTCCCCAAGTTGTGTAGATGGAACACAGGAGGCACACTGCTTGCAGCAAAAGCAAAGATACATAGCAACATCTGGCATTTCCACCATTTGCTTCACCATCAAAAGGTTACAGGATCGAGCGATTTCTCAGGAAGTTCACCACGGAACATGCTGCTATGATGCCATCGGGTAAGCGGGTCGTTTGGGGTGCCACAGGGCACACAATAGGCGATGGGACCAATTGATGTCTGCCAAGCACGCCCCTCAACGCCCAAGGCGGATAAAGGGAAGGCCTCCCCCTTGTGGGGCCATCGCTTGGCAGAGGTGATGGCCAGAAGGTGGTCGAAAGGGACTGGCCATCATTGCAGCGAAAGAAACGTCAACGTGGAGGAAAGAGCAGGCTCTTGAAAGGGCAAGGAAATGGTGGCAGTTAAAGAGCAGCGACTTTGCGAATCTCTTCCAAGCTGCAAAGTTCGCACAGATTGCTGCATGCACCACAGAATAGCAACGCGCGGCTTTCCCATCAAGCGCCTGAATACCGGGATGCGCTGGGGTCGGGTGAACCCACAGAATGTCCACCTCAGTGCACATATCGACCCCACAAGGTCGGTGAATCTCCTGGGGAAGACCTTGTCGCACCTTGTCGCTGTCGTTGAGCAAGAAGGGCGGGCCACCTCCGCGACCCGCAACCCTCGCTCCCTCGGGCCAGGCACCAATGCCTTGTACCTTATGCCAGTACCTTACACCAATACCTTGCACTAATACCTTACGCCAGTACCTTATACCAATACTTTACGCCAACGCCTTACACCAGTGCGTTGCTCCCACCCACCAGGCCCCTCCTCGGCCAGCCCGGCGCAGAGGGGCAGCGGCGCCTTGTCACGGGCACGCCGCTCCGCCGATCTTTTGCGTGGGGCTGCCGCGCCGATCGGCGATCGGCGGAAGGGATCGCGGGGTGGGACTTCGAGGGCGGGGCTCGCTGCGGAGGGGGAGGACGGATGGGCGCCGGGATGGGCTTCGAGGGAGGGCGTCGGGCGGTGGGATAGGGGGATTGGGACCTGGGAGGCAAGGGGTGTGGGCCCTGGAAATAATTACTGCCTGCACCAAATCGGTGACTGCTTGCACCAAATCACGTGCACGCTATGTCCTAACCTCAGTTTGAGAGTTAGGTTTAGTTTTAGGGTTCAGGGTTTAGGTTTAGGTTAGGGTAGTCTTGGAGGTAGTTGGTGCAAGCAGTCACCGGTTTAGTGCAGAGAGTCACCGATTTGGTGCAGCCAGTAATTTCATGCTGTGGCCCCTGGGGGGGTGGGGCGCAGCGAACCCGGACTTGAGGCAGGGTGGGGGGTATCTCGTTGACTGGCGGGGCTGGGCCATGCGAGGTCGTGGCTGTACTTTCGAGCGCACGGATTGGGAGGAAAAGAAACAAGGAACAAAATACAAAAAATCCAAAAAATAAAAAACAAATCCAAATACACAAAGGGGGATATTACAGTGGATGCCGCCTGGAGGGAGCAACCTCCAAATGTGTGCTGGCCTGGGCCGACTCTGTGTTTACGCTGCAGTCCTATTGCTGATGTTGCAGATCCTTTGAAGGGGCTCGTAGTCGTTTGGGACTCAGGGTGCTGTTGCCACAGAGGGGTCACAAGTGCCCTGGCGAATCCAAAACACGCTCGACTTGACCGTTGCTCTGCGTTGCCCAGGGTTGAGCAATATCTGTTCGGGTCAGTTGCCAGCACTTTGGCGACCCCGGCGGTTGGAAATTCGCCTGAAGCTCTACCACGACCAGCTCCTTACAACCACACCACACGCATCACATGCCTGTTCGTCTTCATCGCGCCATCGCCCGTCATCGACGTCACACAAGTGGCCTGAGGTCAGCTCACGGACTCCTTGCGTTTGGACCCCTCCTCGGCATTCTCCACAAAACACATCTTGCAACACGCAACACACAGACACACAAGCACAACCACACACCCCCAGATCTTCTCCTAAAAAAACTGACCTGAAGACCGTTAGGTTAGGGAAGCCCATTATCTTCTCAATTCAACCGCGCCCACGATCACTGGTGAGGTGTCCAAAGATCGGGTGGTTTTCGAACGCATCACCCATCCAACCCTGGCGAGTTCGGCAACGCCTAAGCTTGACTGCAGACTGGTCGCTGACCAATCACTAACCGCAACAGTGCAATTATCGATGGCCTCCGAAATGGGCCGCAGCAAAGTCCCCAACTATAGTACAGTCACCCTTTACGTAAACCCACAGCCCAGCACCAACAAGCCACCCCCTCTGGCCACGCGATTGGGTGCAATGCACGATCGGCCATGACACTTCGAGTCGCCGCAGTGCCTGGCTATCCCATGTTGATGTACAAACGTGCGTGCGACCTGTGGCTTTCCCCCTTGGCTGATCCTTGCCCAAGATGTTTGTTCGGACTTCTCTTCACCAGGGTGCCATGGCCGTGGAAGAAAAAACCCCAAGACATGCATTCCAGCCAGTCTACACTCAACAGGTAGCGGCGACCCCGTAGGTGAGAGCCACCCTGCCCTGGACGCATACGTTTCGATACCAAAAAGTGCATTCGGGCTCCAATGAGCACAATCCCCGATCCCTGTCAATGCCGCCCACCCCACAGCAATGCAAACGTCTCCCTGTGCATTCTTTGCCTCCTTGCGCACTCATTTTCATCCACAGCGGCGCACACGCAACACATTTTCTTCCCCTAGTCGCACACATATCCCCTAATCTGTGCAACACCACCACCGCGCTTCTCCACCTTTGACAGGTGGAACAAGGTACAGCCCGCTTTCCGACCCATCGCCTTCTCGTCTTCGTGCACCGCCGTCCAATTACCGGAGAGCAGCATGCAGCACTCATCGGCGTGAAGCAACCTGGACGAATCCCACCCGCTTGGCAACGAGGACAGCCATCACGATCATCGCAAAGCACATAGTCAGTCCCAGGATCTTCTCAGCGTTGGAGGCATCGCTGCGGCTGGCGGCATCGCCGGCCCCACGCAGCCAGCGGCCCAGACGGCCCAGAAAGTTGCCGACCTGTTGGCCAGCCCTGGCCACGCCTGCGCCAGCCATCTCAAGGCCATGGGCAATGTCATGCACCAGCGCGTGGAGAAAGTGCCTTGGCTGCCCCTGCAACACATGTGTGGAACCATCTTCAAGGTGAGAAATCACCAATTTCATACTCCAGCAGCACATTTGACACATTGGGCCACCACATCTGCCAGGTGCTGTATAACAGTGGATGAGCATAAGGAGTGCCGTCAGAACTGCCGACACAGACGTTGAGCTCCTTGCAAGACAATGTGATCAAGGGCGAAAACAATAAGGGCAACAAGTACACCAATCACTTCAGCAGCAGAGCTGACGATGGGCAAATTTGGTCCACAAGAATAGGCCAGAAGAGGCCAACCCCTTCTCTCCTCAACAAATGTTGATACAAACAGGGCAAGTGGTATGTGCACAATGCGCCAAGCTGCGCACTTGTGGAATTTTACGAGTCACAGCACACACAACATAATGTATGTAGGCGAGCCTGGGCTTAGAGTAAGAGACTGCCCAATGTACTGGGGGCATAGAATCAAAATTAAAAAGGGCCTGAACAAAGCAACTGTTGCTGACAGGACAAGACACATGCAAGAAACCTTGTAGCAGGATGAATCCAAAATCGATCCACACACAACAAGCCAGCATGCTCACACACTGTGCTATTATGCTGTGAAATGTGCATGGTGACACAAAGACACAAAGGTCAAAAACTGAATCAAAAACTGCAGATACAGCAAGTGCGTCTGCTTTTACACTGTTGTGCACCACTGCTGAAATATGCAAAGTGTTCCAAACACACTAGAACGTTCTAAGACTACTGACGAGAGCTCACAGAGTTCAAGCCCATGGGCACGTGACTGCTTGAATCAAACTGTGCCACGCTGCACACGTACATCGGTGACGTCCTCCACACAGGGGTCCACAGCAGGTGCCAGTGCAGCCCTCTGACTGAAGCCCAAAGCAGCATCGCAACCCTGCACGCTCACAGCGCATTACCTCCAGCCAAAAACATCATTCTCAACCATCACGATTCATTTCCACCTAAAAAGCTGGAACATACAGTGAGCAAACACTGCAACCATGAGTGCCATTGTTGTGGCTGATATCCATGGTTGAAAGGCTACAAAATTGTTGTGGGAGCCAACCACTATCATACCAGTGCTATGTAGAATTCCAACAAGGTAGCGAAACTGCAATCAGTCAGCACCAATCGTCATAAGCAGATGAGCTCGAGCTGCAACCATACACAGTGCAATAATTTCCAGAGCTGCAGCACCAGCAATAGATAAGTGACAGTACAGAACGTGCACAACAAAAAACATGCAAGTTCGTCCACAAGGGCGCAAGGTGCCCATCTTCGGTCCTGAGCATATTGGAAGTGCTTGAAAATTCTCTATGCTCCATCTTCCTGTGCAAAGTCGAATTGTTTCTCAAGCACATCTGTACCCCAAGCATCAAGCGCTTTCGTGCACCTCCACATTCACATTCACGTACTGCTGTTCAATGGTCATATTCCCAACCATGGAGTTCCGTGCTTCAAAAAAGTTCCATGCTAGCCAGCTGGGGAGCTCCATCTCACAAGGGAGATGTTTGTACAGGGGTCTATTATTTTGTCCATCAACATAGTGGCAATTAAGTGGCGGTGCCAGTGCATCTAGTTAGCTTACTGTATGGCACAAATGCAAGTACAGCACAAAGTACTGTGTGCTGGGTACTGACACCAATCAGGCGTTAAATAGCTGTGTTTTGTGTGAGACACTACCTGCTGAGTAGATAGAGAATTGATCATGGACCTCAGCTCAGGCTCCTGCTGGAAGGCCTGCAGAATCTCACGCTGGATGGAAGGGCGATTAAGCTACAGCACAAAGGAACAACACAGACACGAGTGTCAGAACAAAATATGTATGGAACATAGAACTACACAAAATAAAGTGTGAAAGCAATGTGGCCAAACCTGCATCACCAAAACTGCAGAATCGGTCAAAGTGGGTCTACACGATGCCATATAAACCAAAGAACCAGTACTGTACAGAATTCTTCAACTTTGCGATTATTGCATTTGCCCATTTGAATGCATGATCCATCCAGGATCTCATCGGTTACAATCATGCTGCACTTGTTCATTTACAATCTGTGCTAGGTTACATAGTCAGCTTGTGCCGAAACTGTGCCCTTGCACCCAGAGGGCAGTGGCAAGCACCTACATGCCACACTTAAGGCTTCCAGCACCCCCCAAATATATGTGATACCTCTCTTTATCTCTTGTAAGAAAACGTCAATTCGATTATTCCTTTATTTGTTCCTGTATTCTTAGGATCATATTGTTGCTACTATATGCTATGATGACGTGTGGGTAGGGATACTCTCTTGACTAAAGCATTACAGAATTCTTGTAGAGCGTTAATAAATTGAAGCAGTCAGATCATCTCAGCTGAGCAGAAACACCTGCCAGCACCAACATGACTTTCATTATGCCTGTAGAGACACATTCGTTTCTTTCCTTACTCAATCTTTTCTTTTCATCTGCGCAGCCACAGACAATCACCGCCGAGGCGCATGAGCTTAAGCAACGCATCACTAACCGTCCTTGCCTATAACGTGCCCCTGCTTGGATTTGTACTGTGCTCATGGCGAATTGTAGCAGACAAAAATTCACAGGACCAGCTATGATATCAGACACCCATTGTGACGTTTGTCACCTTGACACACATCAATATGGACCACCCATAACAGCAATGCTAATGTTGGCCGGCCGCAACATTGCCCATCACTTGCTGAATCGCCCACAACCATGTACTAAGCAGCACACCAGCATGCACCAGCCAGTGCAGCAGTCACTCACCATGATGTTCGTCATCTTGCCCAGCTGCTGCATGCCCTGGTTGGCCGGCACAACGTTTGTTTGGTCGATGACGGCGTTGACATCATTGTCGAGGGCGTCTGCCTCCACACTGTCATTGTCCGACGTGCAGATCTTCACACGCCTGTGCACATTAGACGCCCCAGTCGGGCAACACACAGCATAAGTGCGCATCGGTGCATGGTACCAAGTTCCCTGCTGTTGTCAATCCTTTGACAAAAGATGTGTCCAGACAAGACTAAATGCAGCCCTTGCAGCTTTGCAGGCAAGCACAGTGTTCATTCGCATCTACATTGGAGGACCAAACAACGCTGGGAAGAAGGCAGCTTTCTTTTGGTTGAAAACCAGGGTGGCAGCCCCCATGAAAGATCATCCTCGAGAGGAAATGAGCCGGGGGTGCAGAACTTCTACAAAGAAAACTTTCTAACTTTCGAACATAGGATACTTTCCAACAAAACTTGCTACAATGCAGCTGACCAGTCCTCTGACAGCACAACTGTCCAGTGCCATGTCCAGTGCAACATTGTGGGCGGCAGCACATTTGCCCATTACTTCATTGATGCGCGCAACAGTGCAATTGCCTGTTCCTTGAACATCAGTCAGTGCACACTCACCCGGTGGCGATGCTAGTGATCTCCTGGATGGTCTGGTCGATTTCATCTGTCGAGAAGAGGATCTCCTCCCCTTGGAGTTGAGGCACTTGCCAGTCTTCCTAAAACCACATGTGTGTCCACATTTCAGATTCAAGTCGAACTGTGCAGACAGAGTCATAGCAGAGCTTAATGAAGCAAAGCACATGTGATGGATTGCTTTCAGATCAATTTTCCCCAGCACACCAGACAGTGCTCTGCACCATGAGGGCTACGTGGCACAGGCCATACAATTCAATTCATTTCCTGGCAATGCATTGTGGACATACTGCAACTGAAACAGACGATTAAGGACAATCCAACAGCAATGCATGAAGTGACAACAGCTCATTCTGACAATGATTGCAGGCGAAGTGAATGGAGCCTGGCCAGAGGAAAACATCAGCCCTTGAGCATGGGTGTGGGTAACAACCCATAAATCGGCAAACTTGCCCAGCTTAGTGAAGTGAAACCACAGGAGCAATGGACCAGACAACAATGACTTGTGGACACTGTATTTGGCCTCATAGAAAGGGTCCAGCAGCCAGCTGTAAGTCCACAATTTGCTGCAGAGCTACCTCAGGCATTGAAGGTCCCACAGCCAGCACCATATCAACACACTATCAAACCATGTCAACAACACAACTGTATCTGCCACCTCAACCAGGCATCGACACCGCATTGGGCTACATCGAGCTGCATCTGCAAAGTATTGAACTACATCGATACCCTATCGAACAGCAACAGCAGGGACACAGGCGAACTGCGGGGGCCACTGGCAGTTTCCCCATCTGGGGTGGAGCTTGCAAATGGCGTTACCTCAATCTTGAGACCGGGGTTGTCTGCGCGCTCATCGACCTGGACCACCAAAAGACGACTGGCGTCAGGACTGACAGTGCCCATATCAACACTCCTTCATTCCCTCCAGCACATGGCAATGCAGCCCCTTTCTCCAAGTTGGAGATTTTGGGTGCTGATCGTTGTTTGTTCCCGTGGTGGTTGTTCGCACTCACTTCTGGGATGCCCCAATCCCCACTGGCAGTAAGACTGCGCGATCAAGCCAAAAGTGTGAGCACAGAAAACAATGGGCAAGGCTAACATGGTGCTTGCCCCGCCAAGACAAACGCAAACCAAGGAACTGACACAGCGAGGCCAACCTGCTGTCGTGAAGCCAAGCCCCTGCTCAGAGTGGGCCCAGAAATGCATACCACCGGAAACCTCCCCAAATTTTCGCGACTGGTGGCCTCCTCGCGCACCAACAGAACCGAATTCGATCGCCCCCGGCGTCGGAGCGAATCGGGCCGGCCCATGGCACAGAGCCTCGCGTGGGGGCAGCTTTGTTCGCAAGCATGATCACCACGCCGTTGCGGCCATCCACAGCAGTCCAACTGGGTCATTCTCCAGAATCCTCTGTTTCGCGACCCGGCAATCATTCCCGCGGATCCAAGCCTGGAAGGGGGCGCCTACCTCACTGGAGACCGGCCACCACGGCGAGCAAGGCGATCATCATTCTGTTTTGTTCTTTCTTTCGCGGAGAACACGCCCCACGGGCAGATCTACCGACGCCCCTTCCAAGCGGCTCCGGCGCTTCCGACCCGCCAGGCCGGGGGCCACAGGAACGTTCCAGTCGATCGACGTCGCCGCGACGGACAAAAGCGGCGGAAAGGGGCGCAACAATCTCGGCACGGAAAGAGCACCTCGGGCCCCGTTGGCGCAATCCACGGGCACGGCGAAGATGCACAGCCACAAAGAGGTCGATCGACCCTTTCGCCACCCCAACCCACTCACCCACCCACCCACCCACCCACCATTTTTCCCCTCCAGCGCAGCAAAGCGGAATGGGGCCCATCCCACTCTTGCTAGAACGGGGGCGCTCCTTTGCAAGCTGCGGTTTCCTGGGAATGCAACACATCTTGCCACAACGCGCACACGCAGCGGCTACCACGGACGCGCGGGGAGCTTTCCGAGACCTCGGATCGAGTCCCGAGGACCGGGCGGAAGGGAGGCATCGCGCTCCGGCCATCGACGGCCGGTCGTCTAAAAGTCGCGACGCTGCGCATGCCGCAGCCGCCCCGGAGGGGCCTCGCCGCGTCGGCCGGCCTCCCGTCCCAGGCTCATGGGCGCCAAGGCTCCCTCTGGGCAGAATTCAAAGCCGAGTTCCACAATTTTGTCGCCAGGGCCCCCCCCACGCGTGGACCTCGCTTTTCGCCGCTCGAAGAAAAGACAGAAATTCGATCGAGCCGGCCGCTTGCCGGGGCGCCGCCCGGGCGGCAAAACTCCCGCCGGACGAAACTCCAAGCCGAGGTCCAAAATTCTGTCGCCCGGATCCCCTCCCCCCCCTTCCTGCCAACCTTCATTCCGCCCTCGGGAAAGAAGAAAAGAGAGAACAGAAAACAGAGAAAGGACGCCCGGCGAGGGCGCCCGCCCACCAGGGCGCCGCCCGGGCAGCAAAAACTCCCGCCGGGCAACAATTCATCCCCCATAACAGCGCCACCCCGCCACCCCGACTCTCCTTCCCGCCCTTGAAGAAAAAGGAAACAGACAGGAGAAACGAGACAGAAAAGGCGATCCGCCCGAGCCGCCCACCCACCACTGCGCAGCCCGGCCACCCAAAACTCCCCACAGCGAAACTCCAACCCAAGCTCGCAAAATCCGTCGCCCAAACAGCCCCCACCAGCCAGCCAACCTTCGTTCTCCCCATCAAAAAAGAACAGAAGGTCGACCTGAGCAACATCAGCCGATCCGCTCGAGCCGCCCACTCACCAGGGTGCCCGCCGCGTAGATCCGCACCGGCCGCGCGTGCGCGTGCGCCTGGCCGGTCCCGGCGGCAGCCGTGCCCGCCGCGCCGGCCGCCGCGGCGCTGGCCGTGGCGCGGCCGAACACCGTCCGAAACATGGCGACCGATCAACGGCGGCACAACGCTCCCGACGGCGCTGGCCCCAGGCACCCCCCTTGCAGCAGCGGGTGGCTTTTAAAGGCGAGGAGGGGGGGTGGGGCGCGTTTGCGGAGGAGGTTGGGCCTGCGAGGGCCCTTGGGGGCTCTCTGGATGACGGCGAGGGTGTTTACGCATCAAGAGGGCCTTTGCACCCTGTTGCCACAGGCTAAAGTACTGTGTGCATTGTGCGCTGCACCCTCCCCCCGTGCGCTCGGCGGTGCGCAGCACTATGTTGCGTCAGAACTGTGCAACGCACAGCACAATGTAGTGTGTAGAAGCGTGTAGCGTGTGCGTATGTGTCAAGATGTGTCGCAATCCCAGGAAACCACGGTCATGCAAAGGCGCCCCCCGTGAACAAGGTGGGCCCTTTTCCGCTTTGCAGCGCTGTAGGGCGGGTAGTTGCATTGTCAAAAACACACGACAGAACGATGTCATTGCACCTGGGGAGCAGTTTTTTTTTTTTTTTTTTGCGTGTTCGAATTGCCACTTTTTGTCCAAATTTGTTTCAAATGACCAGCTCGAAACGCGAGAAAGAACTCTAATCCGGACAATGTGTCTGGCAGAAAAGGCTGAAATGTGCTACAACTGGGACAATGTCCGGCAAGAAAGCTGCAAACTGGCCCCAATTCGGACGTGCGACAATCGGTGATTCCGCCTTGGGGCTTGAGTTCCACACAATTCTGGGTGGCACAACTGCTAGATGGGGGCAAGTCGTCACAGTTCTGTAAAGCGCAGTCATCGTTTTGATGGTGGCAATGGGCCAGTTCCCTGCAGTACACGATGCAATAGTCAGCTTGCCGCCTTGCCGCGCCTTGTTGCGCCGTTGCACTGTGCACTTTACGGTAATCTCCTGTTTAGGAAAACCAACCAGGGGTGTGTTGATCGAACTATGTGTGCTTCGTTGTTTTCCATCAGATGAGATGGTGGTTGATCACTGCAAGTGAATTCTTATTTGGGAAGTCTTTCTTTCCATACAATTGGCAATTTTGGCAGCTTTGGAGCTCAGAAGTGTCCTGTGCAGGCAAACCGATGAGCAAATGCGCCTATTGAGCTCTGAGTGTTTTTTTTTGTTTTCCATCAGGTTAGTTGGAGGTTGATCACTGCAAGTGATTTCTTGTTCATCAAGCTTTCCTTTCCATACAATCGGCAATTTTGGTAACTTTGGAATGCAGAAGTAGCCTGTGCAGGCAAACCAATGAGCGAATGTGCCTATTGAGCTCTGAGTGCTTCGTTGTTTATCATCAGATTAGATGGAGGTTGATCATGCCATTGATTTGTGTCCAGCAAAGTTTCCATTCCATGCAACCGGCAGCTTCGGGGCACGTGAAGCTGGTTGCTTTGTGCCCCGCTCATCCACTGCTGCCCGTGCTGATGCAAACGCTCCCAAAGCGGTGAAGATCGCCTCCAGCGTGGGGGGCTGCCCCACCCCCCACCCAACGCCCACCTCGTCGAGGCCACCGAATCCGCGCCCGCCACGCATATGGCCCTGATGCTGTCAGCCAAAAGGCCATTGCCATTCACCATGGCATCCACGCCCGCCTAATTTCGGCCCGGAGCAACTTGATTCGGACAAAGTATCCGACAAAGTACTGAAAAGCATTCTCAATGCGGACAATGTCCGGAAAGGCTGAAGGAAGGCAAAAACACTGCTGGGGAGGCGCTGTGTAACGTGCAGCACCATGTAGTGTGTATTCTGTAGCTGAACATGCAGTGAGCACAGCAGTGCCCACGTGCTGGCTGACCACACACGACTTCAAATGTGCGACCGTCGTATAAGTGCTAGCAGGTGTAAACGTTAACTCGAATGTGCGGACGTCAAACAGGAGGAAGAACCTATAATATAATTGGAAATAATTTCCAAGGACGCGGGCCTGTCACATCACGTTTGGTCGCGTTTGTGGTGTTGTACTGGGATGTCCCCTCAAAATCGGTGCCCATCCCTTTGCGTCACATCAGCCACTTCAGCCTGTACATTGCGCACTACAGGTGATTGTCCCCTGGCGCACAGCAAGGGGGGCGCACAGCGGTGTATGCAGCTGCACATGGCCTGAGCGCCGTCCGAGGCGACGACGGGCATAAGCCGGCCGCTCTCAACGATACATGGTTCTACAATTATATGTATACGCTATCGCATCATATCGTATCGTACATACGGAGCAATGGCAAGCTTGGACCTAGCAAGCCACGCGTTGTGCATTGCTGGGACCACCATGAGCACATCCCGGGGGGACGCTTTGCACTAACAGAAGATGGACTTCTGTTTAACAGAATTGCCATCAGTAGTGATAGTATTTTGGCAAATTGTCTGAGTCCTTCTCAAACAATTTTCCAAATTACTGTCAAGTCAACAGTGTCAAAATGGCATCGCAATCGGCATTGCAATAATTTACACCATTTATTCGGTGCCGACTGCGAGACCATTTGACAAAAAATGTCCGCATCATCGATTGCGATGGCACAAAAGTAGCTTTGATGGCATCAATTAATTTCAAATGGCATCAAATTGGCATCGCAAAATGCCGTTTTCTACCCACGTTGAGGGCTGCAGTACTTTACAACTGCCTTCGACATGACATGGCGGTGCCCTTGCATCTTGTAGCCGGCGACGTACATCCATGCATCCAATAATGTTTCCACGTTCCGCATCAGCTTAATTTGTCCGCTCGCCACCTGTGTGGACGTTTTGCGGGTGTCCGGGGTGCTGAGCGACACTGGAAGAATACCCCATTTTAGTGATGGTAATTGAGATGCCGATTCTACATTAAAGGGTGCCATCACAGTTAATGTGACGGCATGAAGGCAATTCTGATGGCATCCGCTAGTGTCGAGTCGCATCGAAATTGTAATCGCCAAAATGTTCCTCTAATGGTGCGAGTGACCTCGGCGCAGGGCGGCGCGACTTAAAAAGTGTATCATCGACAAGATGTTAATATATCGGTGTATCGATTTATCGATGAATCGCTGTAACGATATCGACTCTTCGCTATTCAAGAGTCTCCCAAACTTTGCGAGTCGAATGGAGCTACACAATGTGCACTTTTCTGCCATAAATTACAAAGCTCTGCTACGGAGCGGTCCCTTAAACTGTGCATTAGAATTTGCAATTAAAGTACTGTGTTACTTGTGCAGTGTGCTTTCAAAGGCACAAAGTTGACGTGCGTTGGCCACGGTGGGCGAGACAGGTGATATGCAGCGTTAGTTGGCCGTGGGCGCAATTGAGGTGCCAGGAAGTGTCTCTGGCTGCGACCGGGCCATGGCTGGGTGCCATACGAACATTCACGCCATATCCGGTTACATGGCGTTTCAGATTCGCAACGCCCAAGAAGCAGGTTTGGTGAAAATTTGTAAGCACAACAACACAGAAAACGCGCCTGGAATTCCTTGCTTTTCATATTGGCCAGAATATTTTCAAAACACAGCAAACGTTCACAACAGTCACATCCTGGATAGCATGTGCAACGGATGCGCCGGTGTCTGCATACGTCCAATCCAGATCGTCTGGCAATTCCCGCACCATAGAGCAACTCAAGATTCGCTGTTGGCCGTCAGAGGGCTCTGACTCTGCCCTAGGGCAGCAGCTGCGCCCATCGCTGCCAGTCATAGCTCTGCCGCAATGCGCACTGGTGTGCGAGTACTCCCACCCCGCAGTCGTGGCACATTGGTAATGTTCTGTCGGACAGACAATTAATATTATTAATATTAATTGACATCAATTAATAATATTAATTGACATTAATGTCACTCTCACCCTCAAAGTGTACCATTATTTGCATTGAACGCTTATGGTCAGCACGTCAGGCCATCCTCAAATGGCTTGGATCACACGACCACGTAGCCTGACAACAGGGGATCCTTTGATATGTCCCTGTCGTCCGGAAGACAGAGAGATGGTGGTAGCAAAAATCTTCCTAGAAAGTTTTTGGAGGTGAGCAGTTCATGCATGAAGTAGAGAACAGTTTGGCGCGGGGCCCAATTGAACTAATGTGCCTTGCAAGACAATGTAGCGTTGCGCTTGGGTCATCGACAACCACATGTACCGGTCTGCAAAACAGTGCGCACACAGTGTTTTGCACATGAATTGCATCAGCATTGGTGCTAGATTGTTGCAAACGCTGCACACAAGTCGTAATGGAACAATTAAAAATGGAGACAAATTGCTGCAGAGCGCATTACAGTACTTTGCGAACATGTACAATGGCCACCATCAATGCAATTTGATTGCCTTTGCGCAAGAACGGCAAAGCAGAACCCCAGCACCTTGCGCGAGCGATGATTGAACGCAGTTCCACAAGCTGGAATCGACACCCGTTCGGGAAACGTTGCAGCAGTGTCCGTTACTACAGTCAGCAACTGTTTATTCTGACTAGTAAAATTTGGCTATGGCAAAGCACGTCAAGTACTCTGAACGTTGAACCAAACTCCCCCAAAGGGCGCCAATGTTTTCAGAAACTGCGTTTTACGCGCATAAATTATTCCTGGCAGCTTCTCCATGGTCAGAATCAGTTTCCGACCAGCGCCTTGTCGGAAATGCCCTGCCTGGCCTTGAGGGCGTTCACGGGCGCCAGAACTCAAGAAATCTCTGAAGGGTCCATCCTATTTGAAGGACCGTTGCCTTTCGAGCGGTGGAGTTTGATGTGCGGAAATTCGCCCCAGACAATCCCTCCATGCTCGGAAGCCGTTTCGCCCAGCGTTTTGTTTTACAATACCAGGTCAGGGCGCCTGTACTTAAGAAATCTCACAGTGGCCGCGACATCGGTTTGCAAGGCCTTCCTCAACGGCGGCTTAAGGCCGTCCGCATCCCGAGCGTCAGATCCAGCGCTTCAGCTCCACCCAGTTTTGTACACATCTGCACAATAGTGCACAATAATATCAGACCAATCTGAGACCGGTACTATGAGGACCTAACTAGGAACTACTTCCTCCGTCCCAGATTAATTGTCGTCTATTTGAAAGGCTAAAT